AAACGCTGAAAATCGCATTTCCAATAGTTATTATTTCAACATTTCCTGGGGGAGGACCCCCCGATCCCCCTTTATACTACCGCCTTCGCAGCTATCCTCACGAGCATTGAACTTGTTGACCAGACAATGGATGGGTCTGTCAAGGTAATCGTTGGTTTCTATCATAGTTAATATAGGGGAATCGGGTTTGGAAACCTTTTGTTGTACTTCTTTTGTGCATCTTTTCATGTACGTATTTTGAGGTTGAATCAGTCATGACCGTGCACAATGTTGTTTTAAGGACGATAGAAATTGCAAAATGACTAAAGATAAACACCCTTTATGAGATTATGAAATGAAATATTTCAACTTGGTTAAAGTGCTACTTGCATGAAAATAGCCTTATTTCAAAACTTCAAGCAATAAAAATATATGACTCTCATATATCTATTAAAAACAATTGCGGGAAAATATTTGTTTTGGAATTGTCCCACATCAGAGAAATTTTAATTCAAAAGATGGAAGAACAAAAGGATGGAGTAAATGACGTCATCTACTCCAACATGTTTTGTCCAAATTATGAAGGATTTGTATCAATATCTTCTTAAAATCTGTTGCTTCATGATTATTGGACCCATATGGATAGTTCTATTTGATTTCCAAGTCTTTTTTAATGTTTCGCAATTTTCGTCCAAGTAGCCCTTCAAAATGTTTTGTGTTTGAAGAAAAAGTCAAAAGAATAATTTTCAAATTTTCAGTTTGGCTAAAACAATAATTAAACAAAAGATTGTGCACGGTCACGCTTGGAAAAAAGTGCACAAAAACCTAACAACAAAAGGCTTCCTAACCATTTCCCTCTACAAACTATGTTTAAAAGCATTCGTGAAAACTTATCAGATATTTGTCATTGTATTCTTACGTACCTAGGTAAATAACAGGGGCGGATCCAGGATTTTTCAGAGGGGGGTGGCTAACATTAAAATTTAATATTAAAGTACGTTATAATTAATTTAACTCTTTAAGCTCATGTGAAATTATCGTTTATCGTTATCTCGGGCAAACCTATAATATTTCGGACTTATCAACAAACTTTTATATGAAAGATATTTATGAATATATAAACATCAGTTAAATCAAACAGCTCTCCTCACTCTATATTTTTTTCGAAGTAATTATACATATTTTCCGTTGTACAATAATCCTGCTATTTAATTTCTTTTTTTTTCAAAACTTAAAGCCTTCATATTTTTTTCGAATAAAAAAGGGGGTGGCTAGCCACCCAATCCACCCCCTGGATCCGCCCCTGAATAAGGATACAGAACTGCTGCAAGTAGTTTATTACAACGCATATACATGAAATGATTGCACAAATCAGTTTATTGGTGATGTTAGCATCAAAAAGCACGGATTATTTGCGTGGATTTATGATCGCACGCGCTTTGAAGTTGTGGATTACCTGTGGTACTTCAATTCATCACGTACATCGCGGGTTAGTCTGTGTTTCCAAGTTTTTTTATTTAGCATGTAAGGATTGGGCTGCTTGTGTATTTCGACAAAAACCTAAATCTGCGGGATCCCTTTGCCTATGACGTTCAAGTCCCTCTCGGTTGACGTTAAAAAAGGAAGCCCAAACATTGCCCGATTTCATACCGTGGGAGACTGGGTACAAGTGCCTTAATTCGCACGATGGTTAGATAAGACTTATATAAATTGAAAGAGCGTATTGAGAAATACTAACTGCCTGAATTTGGCGTCGATCGGGTCAATATTAAACGATTTACAACCTTTCAAAAACACTAGACTTTCCGAAGAAATGAATAGAAGAGGCGGGTTTGTAGTACGTATTCCATATATGGCACAAACTAACAAGCGAATAGAAGCACCTAACAAGCGAACAGAGGTCCATACTTTTTCTTCACTTGTATATTTTTCTACAGTTTTTTATCGACTTATTCGAGCTTTTTAGCTACGCCTTAACTTATTAAAAATTTTCTTATCAAATTTTAACGTTTGATTTATCTACCTTTGCAGAAAATATTCAGTTTTTGTCTTTGATTATTTGCGTTGAGATCATTTTTTTTAGAAACCGATCATTTTTTAGAAACCTTTCCGGCTTTTTCGGTTTTCTGATTGTCATAGTGTCGTTTTGGAATCCAATTAAGCTATTTATCTTCTATTTATTAACTTATTATAAAGTATTTTTATAATTTGGGAACGACATGTCGTTATCTCTCCTTGGAAAAAATTAGAATTGACCGATTTCATACCGTGGGAGACTTGGCACAAGTCCCTTAATTCGCACGATGGTGAGATAGGACTTGTATAAAACGAAAGATCGCACAGTAAATAAGAAACTCACAACATTTGGTGTTAATTGGATAAAATGTAACCGATTGGCAGGTTTTCAAAAATTCTAGATTTTACAAAGAAATACATGGGAATTGAGAAAAATCCGGACGCCCGTCCGGCATTCTATTCGAGGTAGGGTTGTCGTACGTATTCCATATATGGTATTAACTAACAAGCGTATAGAGGTCCCTAACAAGCGAATAGAAGCACCTAACAAGCGAATAGCGGCCCCTAAGGAATCCCAATTTACCGGTGCTATTAGCAATGCAAAATACTTTGAATCATCACAAACAATTCGTTGTTTGCCAGCGTAATCTCTCGTGNAAATGACTGATCATAAACACCCTTTATGAGATTATGAAATGAAATATTTCAATATTGGGTAAAATGTTTTGTGTTTGAAGAAAAAGTAAAAAGAATAATTTTCAAATTTTCAGTTTGGCTACAACAATAATTAAACAAAAGATTGTGCACGGTCACGCTTGGAAAAAAGTGCACAAAAACCTATAACAACAAAATACTTTCTAACCATTTCCCTCTACAAACTATGTTTAAAAGCATTCGTGAAAACTTATCAGATATTTGTCATTGTATTCTTACGTACCAAAGGTAAATAAGGATACAGAACTGCTGCAAGTAGTTTATTACAACGCATATACATAAAATGATTGCACACTATCATTTTATTGGTTATGTTAGCATCAAAAAGCACGGATTATTTGCGTGGATTTATGATCGCACGCGCTTTGAACTTGTGGATTACCTGTGGTAGTTCAATTCATCACGTGCATCGCGGTTATAGTGTGTTTCCAAGTTTTTTTTTTTTTATCATGTAAGGATTGGGCTGCTTGTGGTATTTTTCGAGATTCGAAAAAAACTAAATCTGCGGGATCCCTTTGCCTATGACGCTCAAGTCCCTCTCGGTTGACGTTAAAAAAGGAAGCCCAAACATTGCCCGATTTCATACCGTGGGAGACTGGGTACAAGTCCCTTAATTCGCACGATGGTTAGATAATACTTATATAAATCGAAAGAGCGCATTGAGAAATACTAACTGTCTGAATTTGGCATCGATCGGGTAAATTATAAAAATACTTTATAATAAGTTAATAAATAGAAAATAAATAGCTTAATTGGATTCTAAAAAGACACTATGACAAACAGAAAACCGAAACAGAAAGGTTTCTAAAAGTGATCGGTTTCTAAAAAAATGATCTCAACGCAAATAATCAAAGACAAAAACTGAATATTTTGTGCAAAGGTAGATAAAGCAAACGTGATTAAAATTTTGTTAAACAAGTCTAAAACATTGCATGATTTTGTGAGTTCAAGTGTAAAGAGACGTGCTATGCTGTCAGTATGTTTGCCTTTCATCGGTGGCAAGTCATTAACATTCACACATACAGTTAACACTACATGAGCCCATCTTAGGACTAAACCTAGTTAATATAGGATTTCTTGTAGGCTATTAGGAGTAGAGAAACTGGAAACTGGAATCTGGACTCCTCTTGAAGCGATTAATTAACTTTTTTTCTTTCCAGTTTTTCTTTCTTTCTCTCTTTCTTTTTTCTCATTCATTGATTCTTTCTTTCTTTTTTTACACAATTTTACAGTGTCGTTTGCTTCATACGTGAAATGTCACAGGTGACAAGCATTTAGGCTTATCTAAAACAAAGCTTCGTGGATAACAAACCTTCGTTCTCTCTACTAAGGAAATTTCGAAACTTGACGACCGAAATGCATAGCTGGATTCAACGAAGTGACAATTCTTAAGCAAATTGCTTTCAATCGAAAGTACATAGCTGGTATAGTTACTCTGAAACAATGACATCCTCTTTTAGAGCGGTTATAGGACGACCAATCATGATGCATTGCGTCATAGGAAGAGGGCTGTCTTCAGCGCTCAATGTTTGCTGTAATATATCCATTGATTTGTTATTCAATCACTCATTTTTAATCAATATCTCTGTGCTTTCAATAAATCCATCGTCCACCATCTATCGATCATCATTTTTTCTTATTCATTCTACAACCATTGACTTTTCCATTCATCTCTTATCGATTCCCATTCGTCTGCTGCAATTTTCATCACTCAATTTATACACCGCATGACTATGCTTTTATTAGAGATCTAAGAAAGACTTGTAAGCTATGCTGGAGGCGGTCTGGTCTATCTTACTCTCCTTTTATCTCTCGCACAAAAGCTTTTCTTATTTCATTTATTGAATACTAAAATAGTGCATTGACAAACGCGGAGTCTTTCAGCTCAATTTTCAATAATCKTTAATCATTTACAGCTCAAAATCTTTTGAATACATTTATAGCATGGTCAGAATTTTTGTTTTTTGAGTCTTCAATATTCAACTGTCCGGAAGAGTACAAGTTCTGTGTCGCATCGGGAGAGATAAAAAACAATTTTAATTKTAAAACATCTCCACAAGACCAGATTTCAATGACAGGCAAAGCAAACATCTGTCAAGCAAGCAAAAAATTTCATTACAAGCATCGAGTATCGTGCACAATCRTTCGTACGCGTGATGGGGAAGATTGGAAGAAAGCTCATAACCACCGAATCGTGCCCAGGCACATGTGGTTTTTMATTGTTCTRCACTTCCGGTGTCACACAACAGCGTGGTATTGCGTGACATCATTAAAGGCACTAGAAAGCAAAACCTCCAACAGACCGAAATCAAAGACAGCTGGAAAAAACTCTTACACAGGATGTTGTGTTTCAACGACTGAACAACTAGATTTATAATTCAAGTAAGGTTGTGACTATATTTCAAGTGATCTACAATGTTCACGATCGGAGTCGTTGTGGTGTGTTTAACAGTAACGAGTCGTGTGTTGAGCAACGATCTAAAGCAACACTACAGCATGTCAGAATCTGGGTACACCACAAGTCAAGAGGGACTCCAAGACTCGACAACTGCCAGCCAGACAGGAAAGAATGACTTTGCTAGTCTTATAAAGGCTCTACACCACGTACAGAGAGTCCAGAAACAGATGGACGAGTTTTCAGAATGTAAGGAGAACGAAACGATATTTCTCAGCATCGCTTTCGATCACAGTCGTTGGAAAAGCGAAGCAATGTTGGTATTAGAAGTAGCCAACTTGATGACATTGTTATGGAGAGAAAAGAGGTCCGTTGTTGAAACTGACACACTCCTGTATTCCATAGTTCGATCAAACGTTCTATTCTCGAAATCGGTCTACGGGTCGGTGATATGCTTCGAACGAAGTCAATATAAAAACTACACGAAGTTCTGCCCGTACGCTTACAGGGACAAGAAACTAAATAACAACATCCATGTACTGGATATTTCCGTGGAACACGATTACTTAACGAGTGTCGATACGATCTGGTGGCATGTGCCTCGYAAGGAAGCATTGAAAATGAGGTTAACACAGTTCACAGAGCATTACAACACAAGATTCAACGCATCTTCTGAAAACCCCATGCGCAACCTCACAGTACCTGTCCTCTTAGACATGCAGGACGGAGTGTGGACCGACCCGTACTTTGATTGCTTCGGTGGGAAAAGTTGGATGGTAACTTATTTGGCGCCATTTTTCAACGAGACCGATCAATTTCTGTAAGTATAATTCGCGCAACATTGACTGCAGTGCGTGAACGTTTGTATATGATTTTTAAAGAGAAAAGGTTGATYTCTGGTGATCCATTGCTGAGCTCCCTGCACGCTATCGCACAGCGAAAACAATCAGATGTCTGTAAAAAAATTGATAGTCTCGAAAGATGTTTGTAACTACTGTCGTACAAACACCACATGCGTCCTTACGAAAACAATGGTTAAAACGTATGATTCTCGCCAAGTGAAACTCTTTTATAGATATATTATGCATACATGAGATCTTATATTTTTTCCATGCATATTATATCTTGAATTTTTATTCTACACACAATACGTCCTAAATGTTAATCGTGAATTTYGTTGCGGGAAATTATTCGGCTGCTGAATTTATCAACAACGCCATATCATGGCTTGATAMATGAAATTCGTTCTTTTTTTTCTCCTAAGGTTTTTTACAAAATGTTTGTGCAAGTAAAAACTGCTTCTAACATTAACACCTCTACGGTACACTAGTTAGRTGAGCAGTTGAGAAACCGCTTCAAACAGTGTTTTGTTGTAATGGCTTTTCGTCATAGAAAATCGTTTTGCACTGTAAATTTCTTTCAAATTGTTAAACGTTTTCAATTAATCCAAAAAAAGACTAAAGTGTTTTTGATCGATTCTTGAGACGAATTGGTTCTCATGGCATTAATCGTGATTATGACCTTTTTTTAAGGCAAACCAATACTGCTATTGTTAATTCAATTTGCATTTTAATTTTAAACTCAAATATCGTTTTCTCCGGTACGAAATGTCACTTTGTGGTTGCGATGAGTTTAAAGTGACGATTTTGATTCAGGTAGATTGCGGACACTTAGTGCAAAGTTTCGATTGTAGATAACACTTGAAACGGAAGAGAGAAAACAAAACAAACTTACAATTACCCTTTTCCTGAGATAATGTCAGGTTCATCTTTATCGAAGAGGTTTTAAATATGTTATCATTGATCAAATCAGGGAAACACCACAGATTATCGAACATTAAAATGTACATTAAAATCTCTCTGATGAAAACACACACATGAACAACAAATAATGCTAGCTACGTTGGTTTCTTGTTATAACGACGGGAATATTTCATAAAAAAGCCGCGTATGCCACAAGGTAGCGAGCACTTAAACGCCTTTAGGAAGACGGAAAAACAATTGAAGTAGTAGGGAGAAATAAAGTGGAGTTAACCATTTGAGGTCTCCAAGAAGACAAAACACACGCTCCACGTATATTGGGTCTACGAAAAACGGAATATACAATGATCATTGACAATGAAAGGAAAAACGGTTTGAATAAATGTCAGTAAAGAATATTTGTTCTAACACACTTAAATGATAAATTGAAAATTAAAGAAATTTAGGACGCAATAGTTACAATTTTTTGATACTAACGCTGAAGTCACAATAGTCGAAACTGAAAGCTCAGAAAACATTTATAAGAATTCAAATCCCGAGAGTAGCAATGRAAATGGTTGGAATAGCATTTATCAATTCCTAATGGTTAGACATATCTAAAAACCRCAACTTCTGTTGTATTTTGGTAGTCATATCAAAAAGTTATCCATATAAGAAAAAGGACACTTCCTCATATTCAAWTTCTCCATCCTTTTTGGGACAATTKTATTGTTGTTTCCAAGTTATTCCATTTTGTGCGGTCATTATGTTATGGTTATTCGTRGTCAACAATATTTTTTTTTGTTTTTTCTTTCGGTGACGTTTTGACGTGATTGTCACTGGAGCTCAGTTGTATCTGTCTTTTTGTGTGATATTCCTTGACGGAAAAAAGTGTAAAATGGAAAGCGTRGAAATATCGCTGTCTCAACAACATATATACTCATTTTAAATCTACTGAAGTAAAAATACAATGATTAAAAACAAATTAATGATAATAATCCCGGCAGTGCTATAATATGGAATAGATTGAGTACTCGGCTCCAATACTTTTCCTTTTTTGGATCTCATGTCATTGAGATGTTTTTGTGCAAATGTATTGTTGTTTTTGGCGGTTTTCATTGCAGCTAAAAGTAGCTAGGAGCTTTTCTATTTGTAGGCGTAAAAATGTTTCTTTTGTTCATTTTCGTTTCGTTGTTCTTAACACTTCTATTTATAAACTTTTGCCTTCTTTTCYCTATAAGTCAGCATATTTTAGTAATTGGGTTATTCCTTTGCCATAAAAAACCTATTTCTGTTGTTGAACGTTTTTATTAATAGCAAGGAAGTCGATATGAAACTCATAAAAAAAATCAATTTATAGAGTATAAACAAAACTACTGGTTGTACATTAAAATATCATCGGTGTATTGTATTCATAATTTTCACATATACAATCAATTCSCAGTCGGTTGCTGTGAACTTTTTCGTCTGTTGTCACATAAAATCTTTCTTGATTATTTTGTTATTAGTTATACTCAGCATCCTTACTTCGATTAAAATGCAGCAAAAGACTTTTTATTTATATAATGAAAGTTTTCTGTGGGATATCTTAGTCAAAACAATTCTTTAATATCTTGGCAACAGAAAAAACATCATTGATAAATGTATTCAGAAGATTTTTTTTATTTTATACATTAATGTATGCTGTTTCCTGTAATCCTCTATTAGAATATATTAGCTATACTATCGTCCTTTTTTACATAAGTTGATTAATTCTTTTATATTGTCTTCGACCCAGGAAAAATAAAAAACGAAAGAAATGAGTCACTATGCCATGTGGGATAGGCTTAGAAATTACACAAGCTCATAAACGAGCATGCGCACTAATACGAGCTTTCGCCAATAAGGTGCATCGTGGGTGATAATTGCAAAGTTAAAAAGGAACCTACCTGCTAAAGAACGATATTTCCATTTAAATCAGGTCTAGGACGTGGAAATCCCTTTTTTGTTTCTGGATCATAATAATTTCAAGCCAAAGAAGTTGATTTTGGAGAATTGAAAATTTGTAAACAACAATRAACTTAACATCGAGTTTCTGTGACTTCATCTTGGATTTAAATTGATAACTTTATGATTGCATAGTTTTGTGGTTACTTCCGTCCTATGAGGACGGACTATCTACTATGTTATCGCGCGAAGTAAGGTAGATTGTTATTATTGCCATAAACTTTACAAATGTAAATCACTCCAACGTAACGATTTTCGTACGTACAGGCCAGGGACTACCAAGAATAGTGAAAACTAGTTTCGTTTATTAAAACCTCTTCAGTTCACTATATGTTTTACAACAGTTGAAGAAAAATTCGTAAACAAACAACTGTTGTAAAACATATAGTGAACTGAAGAGGTTTTAATAAACGAAACTAGTTTTCACTATTCTTGGTAGTCCCTGGCCTGTACGTACGAAAATCGTTACGTTGGAGTGATTTACATTTGTAAAGTTTATGGCTGTTACAAAATTTTTTTTGAAGTCTCGGCGAAAGCTATTTGTCAAAGTTGTTATTATTGCAAGTGTTTTTTTTAATAAATAAATAAACTACAAGAAAGTATGTTCATTCTCGCTTTTATCTGCGTGTTTTTTTGACATGTTTTCCCTAATTCTCTTTATTGAAGAAAATCGCTTATAAATCAACCAATATTCACGCTATTACAGGGAAAAAATGTTCAGTTTGCTCAACCAGATATAATTCATCAGAAACATCTGCTAAAGAGATTATCTGGTGCCTTTCAAACGTGACCAAAGTTTTCTTTTCCACTTAACATTAACAAATAGAGGTCACAGGAAGGCAAATATTAAGTGTAGATTGCCAATCAGCAGTTGAGATATCTCGTAAGCTGCTACTCCTCTTTTGACATATGTTCGAAGTGTAAACATATTGAAAAATGAATTCATTGTCAACAGACGAAGTCCATTTGTAAAGAAAATTTCAAGACTGGAATATTCTTGGATGGAAATTATTTRTTTTGGTTCCATCGATCCATTCATTTATCACTCAATTCATTCCTTCTTTCCCCTTCCTTTTTTCATCCATATTTTTCAGTTTTTTCAATAATTCACTCCTCAGTCTGTTTTAGCATACATGTATTCATTCATGCGTCGATTTCTATATCTATTCGTCTTTTTTTCTTTCATTCATTGATGCATCCATCCATTTATCCATCCATCCATTCTATCGTTTATTTTTTCACGTTCAACGCGTAATTCATCAACCACTGTAATTAATGTATTCATTAATTTGCTCCTGCGGCTGTTTTCTTCGTTGTCAAAGGCTTTAGGGTACCAAGTTATCGTTGTTCTACTCAGCATGTCACGTCAAGATGCACGTTGTGATGAACACTTGCTGTATAATAAAACCAACATGACTTAATTGCTTTTCTAAGTTTCATAAAAACCGAAAAATCGAAAAAAGTCGAAAATGAAACCATGAAGCTCAGTGTATTTCAGGTTTAGATTCATGTTGTGTTGTTTCGAGAGGACTTTACCTGCTTTACATTGATAATTGTCTTATCGCATTGTTTGCGATTAATAGTTGGTGCATTCCGCAGTCGCATTACYGTTGACTTAGCAACTGACACTCTGCTAACGATTCTGTAATTGTAAAGTGAAATYGCAGCGTAGACGCAAGATCAAAACGTATCAAAAACTTTTTTTGTGAAGATGCAAGGTCCAAATACATCGAAAGTACGTTGAATGCAAACCGCAACGATAAAATGCATCGAAGAGCACCGTCTTTTATGCATCGAAAAGGACTGACATTCTTTTTAAGAAAACGCAACGACCAAACGGTTCGAAGAGAACGTCTTTTAGGCAGACGCAAGGCCAAAACGTATCTAGATGCGTATTTTTTTAAATACGCAAAGTYAAATATATCAAAACCGACGTACATATCTAAGCAGACGTAAGGTGTGAACGCATCAGAGTTAGTAAGTTTTTTAAATACGCAAGGTCAAAAAAACATTCAAAAGTACATATCTATGTATACGTAAGGTCCAAATACAAAAAAGTACGTTTCTTTGTACAGACGCAAGGCCATAACGTATCAAAAACAGGCTTTTCAGCAAATACACAAGCTCAAAATACATCAAAAAGCGCCAACGCAAACATAGTGTAAACGTATTGCAAAATACGTAGACTGGCGCAAAAAATAGATGCCGACGAATCTATTTCTACTTTGATTCTGATCAGATTCCTATGCCTACTTCTTACACACATCGTTACTTAAAGACTTTGTCATATATACATCTCAAATTCGATGTTCACTGATCTTTAATTTATATGAAGTTTTTTTTATATGCCTATAGGGGGGTTGTAAGCATTGATATCCAATTAAATGACATTGATATCAACCAATGTGACTCAAAAGATACACAAGGAGAGACTGGAGACAAGACGAGCAAACTCAACGACTTCATGGGGACGCACAGATGTAAGAGCTCTACAAAGGTAAACCTTAATATCAGTTGGATTACCTGTGCTTGCTTTGAACTTGAGAGTAGGACTAATAACGAGTCTCAGTACCAATGTCTTCTGAATGTACCACAGGGAATCCAACATATTTAGAAACAGTATTTAGGAAGCTGCACTTGGTTATTTGGCCTATGTTTGAATGGGTTTAATCTTAGAAAAGTTTGTTTTGTAGCCTACATATAATTTAACATGGATTACACCCTGAAGAACAGATCTTAGAGGGGGAAGGGGGGGGGGGCATAGACTCACCAGACACCCTCCTTTCCTCCTTAATGCCAGACTGATTATCCTTAGTTTGAGATCTTAAGCCCTGGACACACCAGAATTCAGCTTATRAGCAAGAAGGGCACCCTTCAGATTTTGGGACATCCCCCTGAAAAGCTTTTTGCATCCACAGATGTCTTGAAATTTGTCGGATTCGGACATTAAAGGAGTTTCTATATACTTCATATTGTAGGATGTCAAACGATGATTTCAACTTTTACCCCTCCTTTGACACACAGAAAACACAATACTCATTTCTCATCCTACAATATGAAGCATCCACAGATGGAAACATGATTATGTATTTTATCAGTTTGTGTATGTTTTGTTGTTGTTGATATTGTTTTCACTGTTGTTATTGCTGTTGTTGTTATTTAATCCGTCTTAAAACTCTCTATCATCTCCGCCATTAAGTCCTCAGCAATGGCAAAAAATGGCAATGAAAGGCAAAAGCTATCATAAAACTGTACAATAAAATTGTAAAAATTGAGTTTTTTCATCACTGATATTTGATTCAAGCTTCCTTTAAAGTATGTATGTTATGTTCTTGATGAGGATTTACAATTCATTCTTTTTAGTGATGAACTGTGGATTTAGTTTTCCATACTCTGCTTGTTAATTTATTAATTGGACGACATTTTACTTTACTACCCCGCACTCCGCACTCCATTCCATTCCACTATCCACATTCCAATCCAGTCTGCTTTATACTCTCTCCACAATCACACCAAATGATAATCATACTAGTTTTAAAACTAGTTTTATTGTATACATTATGGTTATATAGATATTGAAAAAGATTAAAATTCGCTTGACGTTTTTATGGTCATTTTAAAATGATTGTACAAGCTTTCACAAAATTCCCCTTCATGCGAGCACATAAAGAAAACGTTGAATACTGAATACTGCATTCTGAATACTGCATTTCAAGACCACAATGCATTGCACTAACTCTACGTTAACTGCCGCGCAAGATGACAATTCTAAAACTTAATTGCTTTCCAATGAACTTTTTGCCTGTATGGAGCTGGTAAAGTCACTCTGAAACGTCGAAAACTCTTTTTGAACGACGATAGAAAGACCAACAATGCATTTCGGGTCTTGGAATACATCACCTTCAATATTCAGCGTTTTTTGAAAATAGCTGTATGTACAGATAATTGCAAACACGTTTCTAATAAAAGGAAATTTTATAGCGAATTTATAGCGGAGCTCCTGAACAATAAAGCAATTTCAGAAAACGTTGAATACTGAATACTGCATTCTGAATAGTGCATTCCAAGACCACAATGCATTGTTGCATTGCACTAACTCTACGTTAACTGCCGCGCAAGATGACAATTCTAAAACTTAATTTGCTTTCCAATGAAMTTTTTGCCTGTATGGAGCTGGTAAAGTCACTCTGAAACGTCGAAAACTCTTTTTGAACGACGATAGAAAGACCAACAATGCATTTCGGGTCTTGGAATACATCACCTTCAATATTCAGCGTTTTTTGAAAATAGCTGTATGTACAGATAATTGCAAACACATTTCTAATAAAAGGAAATTTTATGCGAATTTATAGCGGAGCTCCTGAACAAAATCTACCAAAAGTCAACGAATTCAGAGTACGAAATTCTTTTAAACTTACTCTCTTTTGCATAAACTTTCAAAACTTTTCGAGGTATGTATTTTTAAGTATTTGTTCACATGTCAATAAAAGATGTTCTGTTTACATTTCTTGAAATGGAGTACTAGATAATCATTTTTTTCTATATTGCCACTGGAGCTCCGCTATTAGATGTTACCTAATTTTTATATTAATTTAATCCCATATACTCCTTCAACAAAAACGTTATCGGGGAGAACGGCAAACGGCGATTGCCGAAGCGAAATTGCATGACCGAAAGGGACTATGGTTACGCAGTTTGACATTGGGAATTTTACTTTTCTGGTTTTCTTYGCGTGAAAATGGAGACTTGATAAAGTTAATGTTTACTACAGACTGTCTTACAGTAGAAATCAGTTATTATTTCACACTAACTCGCAAAATCCATGGTTCCTTTCGGTCGTGCAATTTCCGTTCGACAATTGCCATTTGTCATTTTATCCGACAACATTTTTTTTGAAATATAATACACAAAGCAAAAAATTCCGATATTATTTGTTACATATACACAAGTATTATTCTGTTGTTATGACCAACTGATATGCAAAATGAGGTATAATGTACAAGAAAAGGAAAATAATCCGATATTTTTCGTTATATATGTGTTTTTTGATTTACTATTTTCTTATATTCTTTGTCATTCCACTTGAACATTTATAATTCAATACTCACAGTTTACAAACTGCCAAACTTACTTCGGGCTTTTTATTGGGTTCTGGTTTTTCTGGTTTTGGGTTTTGGGTTTGTGTGTTTGGTTTTTCTGGTTCTGTTTTCTCTGGTCCTGGTTTTTCTGGTCCTGTTTTTTCTGGTCCTGATTTTTCTGGTTCTGGTTTTTCTGGTCTTGGTTTTTCTGGTTCTGTTTTCTCTGATCCTTTTTTTTTTTCTGGTTCTGGTCTTTCTGGTCCTGGTCTTTCTGGTCTTTGCTTTTCTGGTCTTGGTTTTTCTGGTCTTGGTTTATCTGGTCTTGGTTTTTCTGGTCCTGGTTTTTCTGGTTCTGTTTTTTCTGGTTTTGGTCTTTCTGGTTCTGTTTTCTCTGATCCTTTTTTTTCTGGTTCTGGTCTTTCTGGTCCTGGTCTTTCTGGTCTTTGTTTTTCTGGTCTTTGCTTTTCTGGTCTTGGTTTTTCTGGTCTTGGTTTATCTGGTCTTGGTTTTTCTGGTCCTGGTTTTTCTGGTTCTGTTTTTTCTGGTTTTGGTCTTTCTGGTTCTGTTTTCTCTGATCCTTTTTTTTTTCTGGTTCTGGTCTTTCTGGTCCTGGTCTTTCTGGTCTTTGCTTTTCTGGTCTTGGTTTTTCTGGTCCTGGTTTTTTGGGATCTTGGTTTTCTGCTTCTGGATTTTCTGGTTCTGTTTTTTTATGGTCCTGGGTTCTCTGGTTCTGGTTTTCTCGTTCTGGTTTATCTGGTTCTGGTTTCACTATGTGAGTCACTATGTTTCTTGAAGGGATGTTGATCAGCTTAGTTGCAGCCTGTCGTAACGCGGACGATCGCAGAATGAATACGTAGGGATTCATTAACGAAGTCATCTGACATAAAAATATGATGGCAAATAGGACGCTGGCTTCTTTCACTACTTTCACACCAAAGAGTTTCAGAACACTGAAACACAGTGTTGGAAAGAAGGACGCCATGTATAGAATCATCACGATCAGGGCTGTCCTGCTCGAAGAGGCGATCATTCTTCTCTGGAGACTGTCTTGCAAACTTTTGCTATCTTTTACTGTTAGGTTTACCKTCTTTGTGTGAAGCTTCTGGAGCTCTCGATAAATCTTTCTTGTAAGTTCACCGACCGACAGGAAAACTGCAGAAGTGAAGACTACGCTCAACAAGAAATGAACTTGGAATCCGTCGCCTGATTGATAGTCTCGTATCATATAGTTCAAAACCTCAGCGTGGTCTGTTGGAAAATTGATCGAAAATCTTAAGGCGTTGAGAATGACGGCGAGTAAGACTGTAGCCCCCCACATGATCACAACTGCAATGCGCGCTCTCTTCACTGTCATCATGTTATTGTACTTGACTGGATATTTCAAAAGGAGCAGCCGATCAACCATCACCATCACAGTAGAATTGAACGTTATCATCGTCATCAATAGGAACACGGAGCGAATAGCAACGACTGCTACAGTTCCTTTTAGGTTTCCAGTTTTGAAAATCATATAATCCATAGCCAGTGGGATGTTTACCATGGCGGACGCTAGGTCGCTTATACCGCAATTGAAGATCAAGTTCATGGATCCAGTGTGATGGACCTGTTTTGTTTTCCACAACAAGACGAGAAGAAAGGCGTTTCCAACCGTGCTGCCTCCCAACTCAACAGCGAAGAGAACTGCTTTCGCGATGGCGGCCATTCTTGRAGCGGTTCTTGAGGTTATTTTCGATCTCAGGTGAAATGTTAAGTGAATGTTCCTGATTTTTGTTCAATGTTTTTCCGGAATAACCTACGTCTAGTGTTTTTTWAATCAGAAGCTGACACAAAACAGGTATTTGGAAGGTGTTGATTGTACGTCATGAATGCGAATGAACATTCAATATTTTTCTAAAAACCACAAGGTTGGTTTACTCGTAACAAAATGCGAGTGTTGTCGTTTTTAGAAGTTTTCTCAGGTCAAGTTTAGTTTTAAGGTTGGTTTCCTTCATTTTAGCCTTCGGTATTTTACTTTGAACTCAAGGAATCTGCTTTTTTTGAGTTGCGTAACAAGAAAGAAAAACTTGAACATATGAGTTCTGCTTTTTTTAGTTACGCAACAAGAAAAACTTTAAACATGTGCGTTTCGCCTTTGTTTTATATTAATCTGGTTGAAAAAGTCTTTTTTAAGACAAATATCTTTGTTTCCAGATCCGTTATTTGACGCAAATTGGCATAATGTGTGCCTAGTAAACAATCTCTAGTGTTCTTCTTGTCGCCATCTGCACAGTCCCTCAATTTGTTGCTATATACAGTTCTACAAAAATAACTTGTCTACTCACTTGTGAGTTAATTCTCATTGCGGCAAATTTAAATGTTTTTCAATGCCTTTATTAGATAATAAACAAGTTAATTACAAGTTAATATTCATAAAATATAAATTAAGAGCAAGGATTTTAAATTTATCAAAATGAGTGAGCAGGCGATTGCGTTTCTTTGCTATGTTATATTCAAATACGTTCATACAGCTTGACGTRAGCCTTGAATTGTTTTATAAAGTGACTGATTTTACCTCTGTTGTTTGACACATATATGTTGTTTATGGGAATTAAAGAGGCAGCTAAATGAGCCAAATTTCATGTACCATTATTTTTAATCTTTCCATGTCATGTGCAGCTTACGACSTGGCCCTTGTTAACAACGATCACCTGGTAAAAACTGGCACAAAGCGATTAGCTTGCAAACAATCCAATGATTTCCTGGAAGCCATCTTAACGACTAATTTCTCCAAATTTTATTTTATTTTTTCAAAGTTATGTGGTTTGGGAATTCCTCAATTGTTTTTTAATTCCTCGTTTATTTGTTCGAAGGACTTTGTTGTTAAGCAATTTAATTTGTCTATACATGTTGACTCCGAGTGAGCAGCTGGTCGCTGATCATTACTGCTCTTTGCACAGTAGGAACAGGGTAGGGGGGACTTCAAAATCAAAAACATGACCAACTGATTTTGAGAACGCCATAATATATAAGCTTGGCACTTGGGGAGGGAAATTCACTCCAAAAACTACAGAATAACAATGCCTGACACTTGCCAATGCACTATTCAGGCCTGTAAACTATAAGAACTGCGCGCGCTAAAAGTTAAAATATTAGATCTACCAGCGTGTCAGTAACAACGGTTTTTGTAAACATTTTAGGTCTAAGATAGAAGAAAATTTTATTTTATTTATTTATTTTTAATAAGAAGATGTTTAGAAAAACAATGTTAAGAATGATAAGGAAAGAAAACACACGGTTTTGCTGTTATTAATCGACACGACGCCATTATTTACTTTTATTATTATTATGCTTTTTTAATCGTGCGAGTATTTTGCATCAAGAAATCTTCACTCTACTTCGTTCAATTACTAATAAACATTTCATCTTTTTCAGTGTGTTAACATCCCAAATCAGGGTTTTAAGAGGGGAAGCTACTGGTGCGAATGTGCTATGGGATACTACCATACATCATCGGGTGGGGTCACGAGGTTCAATGGATCCGTCGTTGAAGACGAGTACGATAAAAAAGCCCAAGGTCTACCAAACGAATATGACAGAAGTTTTGAGTGCCTCAAGTGCAGTGAAGGCTGCCGGGAATGCACCGATAGTAGGCCCTGTCGATACAGCTTCTCAATCGTTCCCAGAATTCTGATGCTAACTATAAATGGTTTAGCAATTTTGATGGTGCTAGGGTTTGGTTTTCTGGTCGTGGCTCACCGTGACGCTAAGGTGATAGGAGCTTGTCTAAAACTGTTTTAACAAAAAAATTCTCAGAGATTGGAGAAACCTCGACCGAAAGTCACTATGGGAAGTGATAATTGATAGCAATATTCGCCTCGATACTTTTGCTAGATCTTCAATAATATTTGTACCGAAKTAGATATTTCATTCAACTCGATTGTTCAAAAAAGAAAAGAAGCAAAAACAAAGTACAAGGCCAAAAAGTGTTTTTTGACCAGCATAGTAATGCTTTTGTCTTCTTGAAATAGATGCAGCCAAGCAGTGTTTATACAAGYGTACTCGATTTGTTTGATTTCCCTGCGTTTTTAACTCCATCAGAAGAGTTTGTAACAGTCATATATATTGATTACCCAGAGTAACTTTCGGTCGTGCATTCGCTATTTTCAAACCACAACTTTTATTGAAACCGCTGCAAAAGCTTTTTTTTCTCGAGATCATATCGCTTACAAAATGAATCCACACAATTCGTACTAATATTTTCGGCACATTTTGTGCCAAACTAAGTCATAACTGTTCGTACTACAAACGCTGTGTTGTGCGATAAGATAAATTTTAACACCACAAAAAAGTAAGTGAAATAATTTACTCGATATAGAAATGAAATAATTTACTGACGTTTCGGGTTTCGGACGTTATCCTTCATCGGAGTAAAGTAGTGAAACGGAAACWTACTACATACTACATTAAACTCATATTCGTTCCTAGGTGTTCAACGCTTCGAGTCCAATATTTCTTCTTATCATATTGTTTGGAGCTCTTGTTATGTATATTGGGGTAAGTATGACGTCATTTTTTATCACTTCTTACGAGAGTTTATCATATGTCATTTATCGTGATATTTTTTTAAGAAGTTAGTTCACCTGGTCAATCATGRATTCATTTAAAAAAATCTAGTTTAACAATAGCAATAGGCCACGGTATGGAAATTTGTGTGTGATATTAGAGCGGATTTCGTATGAGTGGGACACCGTTACCGCACGGTTACCTCACAGTTACCGCACCTGGCCTGCAGAATTTTGGTGAAACAATGGGGCACTAGAATTTGGTTACAGTACGATTACGGACACAGTACAGTACCGTCCGTTTCCCACTCATACGAAATCCGCTTAATAGAAAACCTTGTGAATACAGTCGAACCTCTGTATTTTTTTTATTTTTAAGCGGTAAATTATCAACTTCCCAAAAGTCGCTTCTCACACATAGTTACTGTAAAGCATGACCTCTATTAAAGGGACACCCACCCCATTCAGCGGCCACTCATGAATTCCCCATAAATCGAATCTCACATATATTTACTGTAAAACATTACCTCTATTAAACGACCAACCTCTATTAAGCTGTCACCAACTGGTCTTGATCCCCTAAGTTGACCGCTTAATTGAGGTTTTAATGTAATATTATGATTTATTCGAGGATCTAAAATAAGGCGTGTCATTTTTTATGCAGTTTGTTTTCCAGTACCTGTCTCCTYCAGAGCAYATCTTAAGCTGTGTTATATTCCCGTGGTTACAACATGTAGGATTTTCTCTCGCCTATGGCTCGCTAGCTCTCAAGTTATGGAGGTACGTATCATGATAAACAGTGATATTCGTATCAAACAAAACGAATGAATTGTTAGAATATGAAAATAAATAAGAAAAAAAGCGTGGACAACAAAAAAGACTGAATTATCTTTCGCGCTCTTAAAGATACATATAATCCATGATGCATCTCAGTATCAGTACCCCTTAAAAAGAAGCAACAACTGCAAAATACAATACTTAAACCAAACCAAAAAACTGAGAAATATGCCAATAAACAAACAAATAATAAAAAATATGCCAATAAACAAACAAATAATAATCAAGAAACGCAACGTCACAAAGAAGTCAAAGTCAAAAAAGGTTTGCATCCGGCGGCAAACTTTCCCCTTGAGGTACATTCTTGTATTTTCCACTTTTAAATCATGTTGTACTTTGTTTTTTAGAGTCTACCGGATGTTTAGAGTTCGCTCTCCTCACAAAGTACAAATAACAGACATGAGCCTGCTTAGGCACCTGGCCGTTATCCTAGCTATTTAYATCACAGTCTTACTTGTGTGGACGCTGACCACAAAGACGTTTGTTAGTAWTGCAGTGACTGTCACTGGTCTCAAATACGAGAGATGTTCAACAAACTGGTTTGACTATGCTATTGTCGTATGTAAGTAAAGATAGTAACCAATCCCTCCTCGTCGTTAGTTGAAGAGGGTGGTCTGGGTAGGAGCCTATGTTAATGACAAATCTTTATTTGTTKTACAACGACTGGTAATGTAGGACAATAAGGCGCTTTTTTCCGCTCTCGGAAAAAATAGTAACCAATCCCTCCTCGTCGTTAGTTGAAGAGGGAGGTTTGAAGAGGAGTTCAATGACACATTCTTATTTGCTGCACTGACGACGACTGATATTTTAAGGCTCTCAAAATGTTTTTCTTGACTACATACAGAATTTAGCCCATGCCAATACAGATCTATTACCCAGCCGTCTTAAAACCATAATCATTTCATTCGTTATTCTTCCATCCATTTATCCATCCCATTCAATCACCCATCGTTCACCTCATTCATTTACTCATCCTTTCAGTTAGAGCGGATTTCGTATGAGTGGAAAACGGACGGTACTGTACTGTGACCGTAATCGTACTGTAACCAAATTTTAGTGCCCAATTGGTTCACCAAAATAGTGCAGGCCAGGTGCGGTAACTGTGCGGTAACCGTGCGGTAACGGTGTCCCACTCATACGAAATCCGCTCTATTTACCCTTCAATTCTCTTTACAGGCAATGTATTCCTCTTACTATGTGCGTTATGGTTGTGTTATCGTGTGCGTAAAGCACCGTCAACGTACACTGAGAATCGCTTCATTACATGGGCCATCTACAACGCTACGTTTGTCATGTGTTTCTTCGCTATACTCAGGTTAGTACGACCATTAGCACCCAAACAYCCATCCATATCCTTTCGAACAGCTCTCACTTCCAGAATAAWAATAATTGGAAAAATAACKTGGCTACCAWTTTAATGAAGCTCCCACTCCTTTYGTCTGATTGGTTGACTTGCTKTGTCGACCAAAAGGTCAGCCTCTAGTTTATCCACCATTCGATTGAAAGTAACCCTCCCCCCTCCCCCTCGGGGAATACCTGGAGAATTTACCTTTCAGCAATGATTAAGTCATGGGTATTTCCCGTCTCTTACATAGCTCAGCTAATACATATTCAATACATATATATGATATATATGATAGTCCCGTCCCCCTGGACTGATAAGAGTAAATTACATGTAGAATTGAGGTCATACGTTACAGTGACACTGCATTTTGTTTTATAGAAGTCTTACTCGGAAGAATACCAAYCCAGACATAATCTATGCTGTGGAGTTTGTGTTTGTTCACATGATAGCAACAGTTATGGTACTTTTAATATTCATACCCAAGGTGAGATAGTCTAATAGGCCCAGATAGTCTAATAGGCCCTTTGTAGCTGGTTGTCACGTGACCACACCTACCTTAAATCAGATATCAAAAAACGATGTTCAGAAATGGAAAGAGGGATCAAAATAAGTAAGAAGACATGTTTTCAAATCTCCACACTAAATATTTCAAAATTGATAGCAAATATAATTTTTTTTTTTCTAAATAAACATATGGCTTGCTCTCCAGCTCTATTTTCCCACACGCTTCTTTAGAAAAATCGGCATTTTACATTTGCTGTCATGTTTGAAGTATTTAGAGTTAAGACTTGAAACTTTGCCATTTTACCAACATAAACCTGCTCTTTCCATTTCTGAACATCATTTTTTGATAGCTGATTGATTTAAGGTAGGTGTGGTCACGTAACCCCAAGCTGCAAAGGGCATATTAAATTTAATAACAACTATATGTAGCGCTGATCGACAAGCACTGATCGCTAAGGCATGCGTATTTACTACATRTACTATTATTTTTATCATCATCGTCATTTCCGGTTGGAGTGCTATCAATGACGTCACATCTATGTCATTCATTATGTATGTATTATGTATTATGACATAGCTCATTGTTCAGACGTTAAAGGTAAAAAAATTCAGAAATTATCATACACGTGCTTGGCAATCTGTACTTATGACCTAAGTTGCGTTTATGACGTAATCTGTACTCATGACGTAATTTGCRTTTATGACGTTGCTGTAATTTGCTTTTATGTTGTACATACACTTATGACACAGTCTGCATTCAATACCTAATGTATTCAATGCGAAATCTCTACATATGACGTCACCTTAACCTTTTGACGTCATCTCCTAATGACGGATATATGTACTGATGAGGTATCTATGACATCAACAGTGTATCATTATACGAAAGATCAAACGTCGAGGCGTTAGTACGTCATTCTCAAGCAGCAAGAAGCGTTCTGGAGAACTTTCTCCCAATGGAACCCACCTATATGTCACAGATATGGCCGTCATGGAGCGAGAAAATGAAGGTCTAAAGGTACGGCAACGAGACAGTAATGTTTATTATGGTAAATATTGTCATCGACCCTTATGACGTCATCTTTGATTTGCCTAAGTGCATCATGCTACTCGTAAAGAATCAAGATGGCCGATGTTTGTTCAATACCMCGGAGGACGAAGTTACTTTGCGAACTTTATATTGTCGAAAATGGTGTAGAAGTTTTCATTAGATAGCCAAAAGACAAAATACTGTCAACTTAATTTATGATCAATACCTTGTGATTTCTTGCTTGCCTTTCACCGCAAGTCGTCCACGTACAAGAACCATCTTTTAAAATAAATCAACAGTATTAATAAAGAAATATTGCTTTCTTAATTCCACGTTAAAAAAATCTGTATTTAAATCTAATATCATTTACTTTTGAAGTTTTATGCATAATTGAAGTGACAATATTTGATTATTTCTAGGCGGAAGTGAAACGTCTTTCATCGAAAGTCGCTTATCTTCAGTCAAGAATGATGAAAGACAGAAATAAACACATCAAAACCTCAGGGATTACAACGTGGAAGAGAGATAGGTCCGCCACKAAAGACACAGAAGACGGGGAACCAGATTTGACTAAGATTTCTCCATCACCTATATCAAGATTCTTAAGCTCGCACGTGTAGTCCATTTACGTTTCAAGAAAGGTTATTACTCTTGTATCAACGRACAACAGGGGCGTAGCGTCATTTACGCAAATACGCACGTTCTTACGCGGAAAACATTTCATTTACGTTTTATTCTTCCATACTCGTGCGTACTTTYCATAACAGCAACGGTACGCCCCTGCTCCAGGACCGCACTATGTCCAGAATAGCGGGTGCGTCTGTTGTGGATGGAAGGATTTCAGTAATTTCTTTAGAGCAAGGATATATTTAAGTGTCCGTAATAGTGGGGTGAMCGCAATACATGTCATTCATTCAACACCCAAATCATTCATAGATCTACATACGAGGTAGCAGAAATGTTATCAAACTAGAGTAGCTTTAAGCATGTCTAAGGAGTTCTTTCCACGGTGATCACTAATGTTCTTTCTAAATGCGACTCCATATTGCAATTAAGTGATATGATACAACAACACTCACGACTTTCAAAAATGGCGGGCATTCACGACCGTCAATATCGGGGGACTAGTGACGAATCATGGAAACGAGACCTTAGAGACCTTACATCTAAAAATCACTACGAAGATCGCGTGTATGTGAGTGTCCAAACGTTTGATGTATTTGATATGTTATTTTTCKAGAACTCATTGATAATTCATGAGCTATAAGACCAATRAGCATCGAAMTGTTGGGTCACATGATGGGCCTTTATATCCCGATAAAGCACTGATATTTTATTAATCAGTTCTATATCGCAACCCAACACTAGCAAAGTTCTCAGTTTTAATGTCGCATCATAGACCTTTGCTAGGTTTTAAATCAGTTTGAATCAATGTACAAGCCGTTCTTCCGTGTGGGATCAAATGAATTCTTTCAATTGTRGCACAATGCACATGCTCAATAGAAGTTTAATATACATCACTGTTTTCACTTTTTTTTTCTAAAATGATAACAATTTCTGGATGTTGGAGTTCTAGAAGTCGTTTATAGAACTCGAGAGCGTGTTTTATCGGGTATATAGATGCTCGAATTATATCCCGATAAAACACGCACTCGTTCTATAAACAAACACACATAACAAAGTACTCTTGCAAGACACCATTGAAGTTTACTCTACTGGGGTTGGCCTTTGAGACCCCGTTTTGGTGCTTCGTCYCCAGTGCAGCGGTCAGCGACCGTGACATATCGCGCCACTTTTTGAAAGTCGTGAATATAATTACAAARGAAAGAGTAGAAACTGCCTTATAATATATATAATAATCTATTTCAGTCATATAAGGTATTTACCGGTGAAAAGATTTAAAAAAATCACTTCAACGTAGAAACCTCCATAATAAGGTCACTGAAAAGCATTCTCTTAATTAACTGTTGTACTATAATCATATTACGAACTGTTCGTGATGTTGAGGTTTCAGCGAGGAAATAAAGCTATTTCATAGGTATAATAGAACACAGTGATACTGTGAAATATTTTGTATATAAACATAACATATATTTTTTAGAAAAACAAAATAGCAATTGTCAAACAGAAACAGAAAGTTTTTTAAAATAGTTAAAATTCAGGGTAGTTGTAGTTATAGTTAAGCTTGTCCAGTATAAGGTAAAAGAAAGACCTATTTCAAAAGGTTGTCCTGGAATTGTTGAAAATTACACGACTGAAAGGAACTATGGGAATTGTCCTTTTCCTTTATAAGGTCATGTTTGTACTGGCGAAGTGCATCATGGTATTGGTTAAGAATCAAGATGGCGGATGCTTTATTATGACGACTTTTAATGCGAAATTAACGTTTCCCTACTGTCGAAGTTAATTCAGAAAATCATTARATAATTATCCTCCAGATTATTGAAAAGGTTTTTGGCTACCCAATTACATTTTCGATAATCTGTAGGCAGTCCGTTTATGAAAATCATACATTTACTCTGTAACGAATCAGATTATAGTTGGTCAATGTCATTTTAATGTCAAACACTACTTGAATTTCGTCTTTGCATCATGATTTTGAGGTTGTCTTCAAAGGACAAACTCCCAATAAGAAAATAACATTAAAATCAAATCGTAACAACATGTTTTTTGGAGATTCTTGGCTAATGGCTAAAGATAGTGATTAATAAACTCTTAATTGTAGATATCTTTTACGTATAWCACAGTTCTTATGTACAGCGGAGCCGGGTACTTCTTTCGGAGCTCATTAACGTTAATCCTGTGTTTTTAAACTCTTAAAAACGTATTGAAGTTAACCCTGGATTAACGCGAACGACAAAGCTTAAAGGACTACGTAAAGTGAGAGACTTGCAAATTTAAAGAATTTATACAACAAATTAAAATGGTGAAACGAATCGCATTTGGTGTCGCACTTTCTGCTTTTAAAACAAGAGATGGCAAGAGTTAGTTGTACGATAACGCTTAAAGCAGCGTATCATCGCATCGAGAGCAGGGCACCTGCTGGTCCATCTTGGAAGTACGATAAGGACAATGAAAGGGACTACAATTCGGATTTATTGGTTGATTTGTGTAATGTTTTTGGCAAGTTAATGTGGGGAATACATATCCCTTTGCAAGCATCTTTGAAACTTTTTACTTGTAAAACTCATTAAGAATACATAATTTTAAGATGGGGTCCGCTAATTCCTTATTGAAGTTCCTGAAATGATTAGATTATTCCTAGCTAGATAGCTAGCCGAGTGTTTTCAATTAAGTTTCTAAAATACGTGACAAACTAAAATACTAAATTAAAGCAATATTAATGAAAGTGCAAGAACGCTACGGGTTGTGATGTCACATGGATTYAACGACCACGCACTATAATATATAACTTCAMRATTCCATATGAAGTTTTAATRTTGTTGAAATCGCAATGAAATAGAGCTAKCAGGACCTATCGATCACGATGTCAAGATACAGCTACGGAAAAGAGAATGGTAGAGCTAGCGAGGTCTCTACGCCCTTGGAAATGTAAATTTCGGACGTGGGTTTCGTAGTTTGGTCGATGATGAAACATTAGTCTCTTTTGATCTCCTTTGATCTCTCTCTCTCTCTCATTGTTTGGCAGGTTGTACCCCTCTTGAGAGACAATTAAGTAAATTGTTAACATAATATTATAGATTATTAAAAAAAACTGAAAACGGGGCTTTMATAAGAATTTTGGCGCCATAACGTAAGGAGGGGGCCTAATTGGTATATACCATCAATATAATTCAAAACCCGAAAACAGCTTTCTTTGCGTTGTATTAAACAGCTTAAATCAAATACAAATAACTCGCAAAATGTGGTSAATTTCGCAACGTTGTTGATATTAAAAAAAAGTTCAAATCAGCAGAACCTAAAACTAATGTACAAGTTTGGTTTGTCAAGTAACAGGAAGAGTAATAGGTTTGTCACGGTTAATTGCTAATACGTCACAGATCTTTAACAGGTGATTTCCCTACTTTATTTAAATTAAAAAAAACCTCTGTTCAGTGTGCATTGTGTACATAAATCTCCAATCAATACTCCCAAGAACTTTTTGTRAGCTCTACCACAATGTGGCCGTCGTTGTTCTTAGCATTTGTGGTAAAATTTCTACTTYCTTGCGCAGCAAACAACGCTACGGCAAATCATCTTCAAGAGGCATTACGCTTCGTGCAGAATGTCGAAAACCAAACAAACTGTGAAAAAGTCGTCTACCTTGACGTCCTTCTTGACCACACACGGTGGAAAAGAGAAGGTCTCCTCGTATTGGAGGTTGCTAACTTGATGACCTCTTTATGGCGAGTGAAAAAGYCCAACAACAACCGTTCCGTTGYCGAAGATGACGATTTTTTATACGGAAACGTACGCTCCATCGTCATGTTTTCGCGCGAGTCTTTCGGTTCAGTAATATGCTTCGATAAAAATCAGTACAAGGATTATTACTTGTTTTGTCCGTATGCCTTTAAGCCGCCAGGAAGAAGCAACACCATTGAAATCTTCGACATYGCAGCCCAAGATGGCGGCTATGATTACGATAATGATGACAATGCAATTTGGTGGAAAGACACTAAATTAAAAGCAATGACTTTAAAACTTAAAACGCAAACAGAACTTTACTCAGTGAGGGTGAATGCGACTGTTTTGAGCGAGAAAAAGAAGTATCAAGTGCCTGTGGTTCGTTATTCTGACGGTGTGTGGACGCGTCCGTACTACGACTGTTTTGGCGGGAAAATATGGATGGTGACGTATATGGCTCCGTTTTTTAATGAAAGCAGCCAATTTCTGTAAGTTGTTATTGTTTATTATAGTTAAGTTATTGTAGCAAGCTACAGCAGTTTTTTAAGAAGGTTTTAAGGATGAATAGAAATTCAGGAAAACAAAACAAAGCAAAAACAAATAAAAAAAAACTCCGTTGACCATGACTTCTAAGAATTTCTTCCTGGCACCTGCAAGTCCCAAATTCATGCAAGATTAAAAAATATCGAAATACGTCCATTAATAAGTTCCCCGTCCGCACAACAACAGCTACAACAACAAACACTGGAAAAAATCRCGCGMTTCAAAGGTTGTAAATTTGATGCAAATATGATGTAAGTGTCCAAAATTCTGTAAATTTAATGGMAATCATCTACATCAAATTTACAGAATTTTGGACACTTACATCATATTTACATCAAATTTACAACCTTTAAAGCGCGAGATTTTTTCCAGTGAAAAAAGCAACATTAAAGTTCRAGCCTGAAAAACACCTGCCATATAAGAATTTGTCASCTTTTCAAAAAWGAAACCCATTTTGAGAATGATCACCCTAACTTCTGATAATGAAATATATAGGTGTTAAATCTATACAGTCTACACTCAAGAAAACGACTTCGGTGTTTTTGAGTCAAAGCATGATATTACTTCTAGGTGGCAACAAATTAATTGCTCGAGATAGACTCTGGTGATATTCAAGGGTAAAAGGAAACATGGCACTGAAACGCCTTCTCCAGTAAACAYATTAATTAGTTAATTGAGCCGACAGGTGATWAAAATTACTATTTTGGAGAGAAGCTTAGATGAAAATGGAATTTTTAATACTAGAAACTTCCGTTAGTTAGACTTTCGATTATAGGGTGGTTTCTGAAGTGCCGACTTTCGCTAGTTTTGCGTGAAGTTTGTGACGGACGCAGTCTTCTTAGATAACCGTTTTACAGAATTGTCAAAGCCGGATCCAGGATTTTTCAAAGGGGGGTTCCTCTTTGTTTTCGCATTTTCCTAAAACGATCTTTTTTACTGTGCCTCTCGAACTGTAGCAAATGTAGTGTGAATGTATTGAATAAAAATTCATTGCACGATGCGTTTTCATTTTCTTTCATTTATCATTTATTTTATTTTTTACTTTTTTAATGCTTGAGGGGGGTTCCTAGGAACCCATGGAACCCCCCCTGGATCCGCCACTGATCATGATTGTTTATTCATTATTTCTACTAGAGACTTTGTATTTGTAGTGATTAAGTTCAGTTAATTAGCCAGGATCATAGTAGAGAAAAAATGATAAGATAAAACAAAGATGAGACGATAAGGCATGAAATTTGATAAAACTAGGAAGAAAAGAAGGGAGAAAAGAGTTGACAACACAATTGAGTATTGAAGCCAGCCAGAAAAGAGAGAAATAAAAGTAACAAAAGAAACGTCAAGTCCAAAGACCCGCCTTTTCAACAGGGAACTGAGAAACATCCATTCTTACTTAAAGCTATACATACCCTGACCGATACTGCTATTACAAAATGAGCGCTTTCCTTTTTAAGTGTCGGAACAGTTATGAATAATTAGAAAGACTTAATTTCCGTTATTTATACAACGTTTTTATGTGCGTGTTCTTTCTTCTTTTATCAATTTTCATAAATAATATTCTTTTATCTCATTTTATTTTAGAAATTTTACTATTTACCTTGGTTTWAGAAGAAAGAAAATCAAAAAGCAGAACCAGTTTTGAATTCTAGATTTAGTGCGTAAAGGAAAAATATACGTAAAAACAAAAACAGCAAAGCGAGTTTGAAGATCTCGTTTAGATATCCTGCATGTGGTAATCAGCAAAGATAATAATTACAATTGGCAAATCCGCCTCTATTTTAACATGGTTTCTCTTTTTTTTCGAGTAATACCCATAAGCTTCGTCATTACGTGGGGGAAAAAACTTCACTTTTAATCAATTTAATTATGACACGCAGTGAATCCAATATTTCCAAAATTCAACAAATTAAACTAATTTTCTTAGTAAAATGTCGAACTTCCGGCTGTACAATAAATGTGAAGGCAATCAAGTGTGGTATAAAGTGCCCTCAAAAAGCTTAATCAATTCAAAAGACGCATATATGATTAATATATATATAGGTTCTTTGTTCCTCACGAACTGATTGGCTAGACTGATAAACAAGGTCAATATAACCCGAGGATCAGGCTCTATGGGAAAAAAAGGAGGGAAAAAAAGTGGAGAGTCTGACACCTTCTTTTTCATCTCAATCTCTAACCGGACCCCATAACTGACCAGTAACTACTGGACCACCGGTTATACCATAACTGACCAGTAACTACTGGACCACCGGTTATACCATAACTGACCAGTAACTACTGGACCACAGGTTATAATGGTATTGATGGATTTATGGGTAAATGGATGAATAATTTTTCTTTCTTTAGAGGCGCTGTGAGCATAGATATTCAGCTTAAGAATATTGACATCAACCAATGTGATGAAATCAAAATTACAAATGCCAAATCAACAACAGACAGTCAAGATACCAAACTCATTGAGTTTTTGGGAACACATCGGTGTAAGAAGGCGACAACGCAGGTCAGTTCTTAAATAATGCATCTTGATTTACTAATACTGCTGCCATTTTGAATTATAAAGAAATTATGTGATGTCAAGAKGGAAGAGCACACATTTTTATAAGATAGAATGRTACTGAAACATTACTTTCTCTACAATTGTGCATCATAGTGCGTGCATGTACCCAACCAAGGGTTTAAAAGAGGRAGCTACAMATGTGAATGCAAGAAGGGTTACTACTTCCCGAACCCAAGAGCTAAAACCAAACACTTTMAAGGTGAAGACGTAGAAGCTGCCTATGACGCCATGTTACAGGGCAAAACGGACAACTACAAGAAGGATTTTGAGTGCCTGCCGTGTAGCCCAGGCTGYTCAGAGTGCACAGACAACAGTCCATGTATCTATAGTGAAAACTACGCAGTCAGGATATTATTAGTGTGTATTAATGCTATTGTAATTGCCATGTCAATTGCTTTTGAAGTTGCAATTTGTGTCTACAGAAAGGACAAGGTATGCCTATGAATTTTTAATAATAACAATAATTATATATTATAATAATTAATTAATAATCATATTACATTACATCTACAAAACGATTTTGTGCACTAACTTACTAAAAAGTACCTAGTTAAAATTCAATATGTTTACTGTAGGTTATTAGGGCGTCAAGTCCACGTTTCCTGATAATCAGCATCATTGGAGCTATAATCGTTTATACAACGGTAGGGATTGATTATTTTAATAACAATGAAATCATCACTTATAATCATTTTATAATCATAGAGCAAACGCAGGAAAACCATGAAATAAAACCAAACTAAATATGTAATAACAAATAGCGGCTATTTATTTAGAGACAATTTATCAGTATCAGTGAACCAGAACGTTATGAAGATGAATCCACATGGGACCATTTCTAATTCATCTGATTGCATTCTGGTTCATTGATACTGACAATTTGTCTCTAAATAGCTGCTACTTGTTGGTATTCAGTTTGATTTTATTTCATGTTTTTCCTGCGTTTGCTCTATAATCTTTATAAAGTACTAATGATCAGTCCATAACTCATATAAGCGTACATAGGACCTGTGTGAAATCAGAAAAGGCACTAAGCCATGTGGTATAGGCTAAGCATTCATATGAGCATGCTTGATAAGCAACACAAGGTTTATCATGAAACAACTGCAAACTACACTGCTGTCTTAGTCTACATTGTAGGTTGAGTTGCGTAAAAAACTTGAAATTTTGGCCAACTACTAACATCAACTGTCTTTGACAATTTTCCAAAAGGAGCAAAATGTAAGGTCAAGTTGCATAAAAACTTAACCAGAAATTGTGAGCAACTTCTTCTGTCTTTGACTATTTCCTATTGAAGGTCTTTGGATGTTCAGCGAAACCCACCATTGGATTCCCAAAATGCAAACCATGGGAACAATGACCATTTTGCAGAAAGCCTTGGCTTTATTGTATTTTAGGGAACAAGTATCTCAACAAAAGATAATCCTGCAACAAAACTTCACCTTTCGTAGCTTTTCTAAGACATCCACCATCTTTATACTTTCATCAATACCTTTCATCAATGCTATTCGCCAAAACATCCATGGCGTCATTTGGGTAAAAAAGTCCACTGACCCTGTCAATATAATGCACCACTATTGAGCTTAAAGGCCCTTAAAGTAGTGGTGAAATATTTTTGGTGCTTTTGTCCTCAGCCGTATGTGATGTTATCAGGACCTACTACCATTCTATGTATAGTGGATCCATGGCTTCAACACATGGGGTTTTTTATAGCCTACAGCTCTATCATAATCAAAACATGGAGGTCAGTACACCCCCTCCCCCTTTTCTACCAGGGCCTGCATACACCTGTATGTCAGAGGGTTGACAAAGTCAAGTCAAATGTACAATTGAAATGCACTTTGTGTCTTACAACATCTGCTGANATATGTTTACTGTAGGTTATTAGGGCGTCAAGTCCACGTTTCCTGATAATCAGCATCATTGGAGCTATAATCGTTTATACAACGGTAGGGATTGATTATTTTAATAACAATGAAATCATCATTTATAATAATTTTATAATCACAGAGCAAACGCAGGGAAACCATGAAATAAAACCAAACTAAATATGTACTAACAAATAGCGGCTATTTATTTAGAGACAATTTGTCAGTATCAATGAACCAGAACGTTATGAAGATAAATCCACATGGGACCATTTCTAATTCATCTGATTGCATTCTGGTTCATTGATACTGACAATTTGTCTCTAAATAGCCGCTACTTGTTGGTATTCAGTTTGATTTTATTTCATGTTTTTCATGCATTTGCTCTATAATCATTATTTAACAAATAAATAAGGCTCAACCGTGGTTTATACTCTGATAAACGCGCGCTTGGCATTTGAAACACACGAGCAAATGTCAAGAAACACAAGTTGAAAGCGAGTGCTTTTGGACATTTTTGAGTGTGTTTCAAATGCCAAGCGTGCGTTTATCAGAGTATAAACCACAGGCTGAGACTTATTCATTTGTTTTATTATATAGATTTTGAGCAAAACTTAAGCAAAAATCCATTTTGTTGCCTTTTTCAAAAATCGCTCGCGCACAATCGTGGTTTATACTCTCATAAACCACACTTTTTGGCCAATCAGAGCGCACGTTAGAAATCATCTATATAATAAAAAGTACTAATGAACAGTCCATAACTCATTTGGTATATTCAATCCACTGGAGATCATACAAGCGTACATAGGACCTGTGTGAAATCAGAAACCGCACTAAGCCATGTGGTATAGGCTAAGCATTCATATAAGCATGCTTGATAAGCAACGCAAGGTTTATCATGAAACAACTTAAAATTACACTACTGTCTTAGTCTAGGTTGAAAAAAAAACTTGAAATTTTTGGCCAACTAGTAACATCAACTGTCTTTGACAATTTTCCAAGAGGAGCAAAATGTAAGGTGAAGTTGCATAAAAACTTAACCAGAAATTGTGCGCAACTGCTTCTGTCTTTGACTATTTCCTATGAGGTCTTGCCTGAGATGTTAAGTGAAATGCACCATTGGATTCCCAAAATACAAACTGTAGCCATGGGAACAATGACCATAGCTCATTGTGAAGAAAGCCTTGGCTTTAGTGTATTTTAGGGAACAGGTATCTCAACAAAAGATAATCTTGCAATTGCAACAAAACTTCACCTTTCGTAGCTTTTCTAAGACATCCACCATCTTTATACTTCCATCAATACCTTTCATCAATGCTATTCGCCAAAACAACCATGGCGTCATTAGGGTAAAAAAAGACCAATATAATACACCACTATTGAGCTTAAAGTAGTGGTGAAATATTTTTGGTGGTTTTGTCCTCAGCCGTGTGTGATGTTATCAGGACCTACTACCATTCTATGTATAGTGGATCCATGGCTTCAACACATGGGTTTTTTTATAGCCTACAGCTCTATCATAATCAAAACATGGAGGTCAGTGCACCCCCTCCCCCTTTTCTACCAGGGCCTGCATACACCTGTATGTCAGAGGGTTGACAAAGTCAAGTCAAATGTACAATTGAAATGCACTTTGTGTCTTACAACATCTGCTGAAAAAAAACATGCACAAATCAAACGAATCAACTGAAGGAGTAACAGTATTGACAACCATTGATTGT